TGTTCATTCAGTTTGTGTATCTGATAGCAACTGCATGTTCAAGCACTGGAGAATATTCCCCCAAAATGAAGGTCTTTTTGTTTTACATACCTATATCAAATAAAGGAAGAAAAATGTTATAATTTACATGAAATATGCATATCAGTTTTTTTTTTCTACAGATCAGGATATATTAAATATAAATGAGTCACACGATTGATTTTACTTTAATAATGTGATTTTTATATTCAAAATCCTTCATAAGCTTGGCAAGTTTCTAATGAAAGGATTTTTATATTTCTTTGTAACCCTTTCTGATACTTGATTGCCATAGTTTTAAATTCATTTGTGTTTAATTAAGGAACTAGATTATTAATAGACTCTTATTTGTAAATATTGCATAATTTAAAATGTTTATTTTGAGGAATTTTGAAGTGGTAACAATTGATTTGAAATGGAATTGCATTACTTGAAAAATTCTGTAATACATAAATACAAGCTAAGAACTGACGTAACAACTGAATTTTACCATCCTTAATAAACTTTTGTGGGATGCAGTGGCTCAGTGGCTAAAGCGTTAAGCTTGTCGATCAGAAAGATTGGCGGTTCGAATCCCTAGCACCGTGTAACGGAGTGAGCTCCTGTTACTTGTCCCAGCTTCTGCCAACCTAGCAGTTCGAAAACATGTAAAAATGCAAGTAGAAAAATAGGGACCACTTTGGTGGGAAAGGTAACAGCGTTCCATGCCGGCCTTCAGCATTTAGTCATGCCGGCCACATGACCACAGAGATGTCTTCTGACAGTGCTGGCTCTTTGGCTTTGTAACAGAGATGAGCACTGCCCCCTAGAGCCCGAAGAGACTAGCACGTATGTGCGAGGGGAACCTTTACCTTTACCTAATAAACTTTTTGCATTCTAAATATTCATTTATTAGGGAGAAGTATTGCAAATATTTGATACGAGGTTTTATTTACCAAATAAAACTGATACATTATATAAAGTTCATGAGTGATGGGAAATTGAAAATTCTAAAGGTTGTACCATCTTGATGGTTATTCAAATATTACTGAAAACATGAATTAGTGATAAAGTATAGTTACATTATAAGGTTTGTTTGCACAGTATGACTTCTGCTTTGTTTGCCTTTCCTACCTCTATTGATAAGCTTGTTTTGAAAGTAAATATCTAAACTATTATCAAAGCTGCACAGGAAGTCACTTTAAGGAGGGCAAACAAAATCAGATACTTTATTCTATGCATGCAAGTCCTTGTAACAAGGTTATTTTTGTTGCCAAAGTAGTCTCTATTTTTGGTGTAAATCATATAATCCAAAGATACTGAACCATGTCTTTGAAAAAAAATATTTCAGAGTAAAAAATCCTGAATAAATACTGCAAACTGCTTTGTTAAATAGCCCAGATAATATTACATGGCTTTTCAGAATGCTTGAGAATGTTTCTCTACAATAATTGTTCATTATGATTACACCTTCACATAAAAGTATATGTTGTGGCTAAACAATGAATTTTGCACCTGTATACCTCTTATGTTTATAGATGACCATTAACAGAATTTTACTTATGTAAAAAACATTTTAGGAATCTTGGGAGGCTTCCTCTAAAATTAAACATGATTTAATCCTTCTATTCTTTGTGGTAATCATGCAGATCTAAAATGATTTTTCCTGTAGCATGTTTTTAAAACTTAAGTTTCAAACTCTCATCAATACACTTCATTTGCCATAGGCTCTCTACCAAAGTTGCCTATTGTATTAATTTACAATGTGATGTGAAGTGATACCAACTCATATCCCAGATGTATTTTAATTTAGTAATTCATGTCTATAGTATGATCTAATGCAGTGTTTTATATTCTTACCCAACTTCTTACAAGCACACAAAATGTGCCATTGCTCATGTTACGAGAGTTTGAAATTAGCACATCTGAGCATTCAACAAAAAGGATTTTACCTGTAATAATACTAATGAGCCTTATTTCTGTTGGAATAGAATGGGATCCTGGGGAGACTTTTTTTTTCTTGTTTGAACGGTTCAGTTGCTGATTATGACAATTGCACCTGTACTATTTCTAGAACTGTATTAAACATTGATCTTAATGTTTTAATTTATACTGGTGTGGTAAAACTGCATTTCATTACAGTAAAATAAAGTTCTTTTATTGTGACGATTTCATTAGAAAATACATTAAACATTTATGTATGACTGTTTTAGATCTTTTTTTTTGCTTTATTTAATTACAGTACTCATAAGCCATGTCCTCTTAACTGAAAATATGAGATCTTAAAAATAAAATTCAACCTGAAGAATGAAATAGATTTTCCCACACAACTGCACTGGGCAAATGCAATAAATAAGAAAAATCATGCTAATTATTAAGGTATCTAACTTGATAGTTATCAATAGATGACTGTGAAAGTAATGAATGCATCAAATTAGATTCAGACTTGTGCCAACAAAACTGACAGACCCTGAAAAAATAATAGAATTTGATAATTCATTTTTTTCTCTTCATGCTGCCAAATAACAGGTTTCCCAAAAATAAGACCTAGCCTGGTTTTTCTTGCTGCTTGCTATATAACTCCTACCCCCAAAATAAGCCCTAGTTAAGTGTCATCAGCAAGGGGAGATAAGACCTACCCCCGAAAATAAGGTCTAGCGTGTTTTTGTATGCACCTAATATAAGCTCTACCCCCCAAAATAAGCCCCACTTAAGAGGCTGCACAGCCATCTATTCTGCCTGGTTCCTCACGGTATCATGGTAGGGGTGGAGCTGTCCCATGTGCCCTGCATCAGCTTATCTCAGGGCTCCCACAGGCAGATCATCCACACCCCAACACTCACAGCGGCAGCACTGGCAGCCATCTGTAGCATCTGCCCACATAGCCGCCACCCACTTCTGCTTGCCGATGGCTGCAACGGAGCAGGAGCCCAAGCAGTCTGTTGGTTCCGCAGCCGCAAGGCAAGGCAGGTGTCAGGGCAAGGATGGCCTGGCTGCGGGGTCCCTGAAGTAAGCCAGTGCAGTATGCGTAGAGTAGCTCCATCCTCCTACCTTGCCTTGTAGCCGTGGCACTGGCATGTCTCTTAGCCTCCTGCCCAGTTGTGGCTGTGAGCAAACAGAAGTGGGCTGGTGACTACATGGGCTCCTGCTGCCAGTGCTGCTGCTGCGAATGCTGCATTGTGGGTGGCCTCCCTGCAAGGGCCCTGAAGTAAGCTGGTGTGGGGTACATAGGGCAGCTCCACCCCCTGCGGTACTGTGAGCAACCAGACAAAATGGATGGCTGTGCAGCCTCTTAAGTAGCACTGTTTTTTGGGGGTAGCGCTTATATTAAGGTAAAGGTTCCCCTCACACATATGTGCTAGCTTATATTAGGTGCATACATAAAAACTATGCCTTTTCGGGATAGGTCTTATTTGGGGGGAAAATGTTATTGTACTTTATTATTTCCCCTTGCTGAAGTTCTTAACTAGGGCTTATTTCCGGGGTAGGGCTTGCAAGCAGCATGAAAAATCATGTTAGGTGTTATTTTCAGTGTGGCATTGGCGCACTGCACTGCCTCGGTGTGAGCAATCAAAAAACGTGGGCCTCCTATACATTGGGGGGGTGGGATAAGGTTGGGAGGGAATAAGACTCCCCAAAAATAAAATATGGTGCTTATTTTGGGGTCCAAAATAAGACCTAATCTTGTTCTTAGGGAAACACAGGTATGATTGTGTAAGTGTTCATACCCTCTGATAAGTATGGATGTGTCTTAGCCTATCACATTCAAACTCATGTTAAATAGTACACGCCTGCCATCAATTACAGTGACTCTGATCAAGCCCATATAAAATTCAGCTGTTCTAGTTTTCTGATACTCAGTTGCCTCTTACATCAAAAGCCATGATCAAGATGGGAAGGAATTACAGTTCCAAACATCAATTTTGACAAAACCTTCAGACTTCTGCTAAAATACTGAAGGTGAAGAGGAATGTCACTTTCAACATGACAATGACCCTAAAGCATACTTCCAAATTGACAAAAGAATGGCTTCACCAGAAAAAAAGACCAAATTTTTGGAATGGCCCACTCAGAGTCTGGACCAAATCCAATTGAAAATCTGGGGTGACCCAAAGAGAGGTGCACAGGAGATCCCCTCACAATCAGACAATTGTGGAGCACTTTTTCAAGGAAGAGTGGCAGATGTCCAAGGCAAGATATATCATCTTTGGCTCCTACCTCAAAAAATTGAATGCTGTCAGAAAATCAAAAGATGCTTAAACGAAGTATTAAGATATTCACATTGATACCACATTGTACATTATTTCCTCCCTAAAAGATCTGTATTTCAACTGAATTGTATAGCTTGTATGTTATATCAAAAGTGGAAAAATTTCTACAATGATTTGGCCAGATTTTTTAACATGTTAAACACCTGGCTTTTTAACAGGTCTTATATATAGGCTTTTTATATCCCACTGTAAATAGTTCAAATTACCAGGTTTTAAAGCAAGCTAAAATCTGTGTGCAGTAATGAATTTCCAAAAATATACCTAAACTACAGTATAAACTATAAACACTACACAACATTTCAGAAATATGCAATATGTTCCAAGTGCCAGGAAATAAAAATATTCATGAAGAATAGTATTAGTATTACATTTAGTCGTGAATATTTTTCTCATGAATATTTTCCAATGTTGGAGCATTCACAACTTCTGAAGACAAGCTTGTTCCACTGATCGATTGTTCTGTCAGGAAATTTCTCCTTAGTTCTAGGTTGCTACTGTCCTTGATTTTTTCCACCCATTGTTTCTTGTCCAGCTGTCAGGTGTTTTGGCGAATAGGTTAACTCCCTCTTCTTTATGACAACCTCATATATATTGGAAACTTTTGAAAAAGTTTGTCTTCATAGAGCAACTTATTAAGGAATGTACAGGGTTTTATTAATCTTCAGTGAAAGTTATATTAGAAACTAAAAAGATTAATGATTTATATAATTTAGATTCTATAGCCAAAATAACTCATTTAGAAAAAATGTTTATTTATCACACAATAAGTACACATTAGTAGAAAAAAACATTTAAAATTCATAAATAGTATTTTACAGTATTTTAGTGTTTATCATGCTGCAAGTAGATCTACCTTCTCTTTTCTTCTATTAGCTAAATGAGCTTCAATTATCTCTGCAAACAGATCTCTTTTCAGCAGGCTATATGCAAGAGGCAACAAGCGGCTGATAATCTTGTGAAAATACTGCAAAAAAATTAAAAAGACAATGGTATTGGTTTTATTGAAATTGATAATGCATTTCAGAGCAACATAAAATGCTTTGTTTTTCATTTTCACCTTTTTCTCAATTTCTTAAGCACTGAAATTATTATAATAGATAGCTATTCTCTACTGAACCTTTGTCTATGGAGATTTTCAGTCATTCAGTTGCCGCAAAAGTGCTTTTCCAAAAGGCAACTGGACTTTGTTTTTCCTTGAAGACCTTTCGCTTATCCAACAAGCTTCTTAAGTTCTGACTGAACTGAAGAAGCTTCTTGGATCAGAAGCAAGATGTCTTCAAAGAAGAATGAAATCTAGTTGCCTTTTGAAAAAGCACCTTTTGGACTACTGAACTTTCGGTGTCAATTTATTTCAGAGCCACATATGATAGAGACAATGATTCATATCTCAACTACCGTATTGTTTGAACTATAAGATGCACTCCCCACCCCAGAAAAAGTGGATGGAAATGTCTGTGCGTCTTATGGAGCAAATGTTGCTGAAGCCCACCCCCCTGCCAGCACCCACCCTTCAGCCTCTGCCTCCCAGCAATTTGCCTCCTTGCAGCAAACAGCCTGGTCAGCTTCAGCACAGCCTGATTTAGCACGAGCAGCAGACTGGCGATTGGATCAGTCTCCCGGAATACCGCTGATCAGCTACTCCAGGCTGCAGGGATTGCCACCAATTGCTGCCACCACCTATTGCCGCCTCTGTGTCCCCCATTTTCGGCCACCGCGCATCTCATTTTTGGCTCATTGCAGGCAGGGATCGCCACCGCCACCACCTATTGCTGCCGAACCCAAAAGCTAAGTGCATCTGGAGCGTCTTATAGTGCAAAAAATACAGTACTACACAGAAAAACATGAACTTACATGTGACCCACAGCAGAAGAGGTCTATGCCCAGTTCATATCCCATTCCATAGTCACATTCATCATTCGCAAACTGAACAAAAGTTAACATTTCCTGAATAGGAGCAAAGGCTTTCAATCTTTGGTCATCATTAGGAGCATCTACAATGGTTTTACAAATTCTTTTGAGATTTGCTACGAAGAAAAAGATTCCATGAGAACTATATCACAATATATTCTAGGACTATACAATTTTTAAAATTTGATTTTAGAGATGTGTTTGGGATGCACAGGAGCACAAATTGTAACTGCCTGCAATTCATTAAAGCAGCTGCAACCTGTTTCTTGCGCTTTGTGCTTCACATTGCTTTACATTTGGAAGCACCTCTTCCAAATCAAATAAGCACTGCACACCTCTATATTATTCTCTGCAATACATGCAATATATGTATTATTTTAAAGGAAAATCATTTTAACTGCATAATATATGCTATAGATCTATACCACAGATCTTTCAAGATTTTGATAGTGTCATATTCCTGGTCAATATTAATATAAAATGGAGGTTAATTAGTATTATTTTCCATCACCTATCTTACAAAATAAGTGCAGAATTACAACCTAAAGTCCCACTGAAACCAATGGGATTTAAATTATGACAATGGTCCCAACAATAAATGCAACCAATCTAAGTCTAGCCTAATGAGTTTCAGGACAGACATTCAGTTGCTGCTACAGACTACTATAGTGCTTTTAATCAGGGGTCCCCAACCACCGGGCCCTGGACTGGTACCGGTCCATGGATCATTTTGTACCGGGCTGCCTACTTTGCTTGGGCGCCGCCATTTTGTTTCGACGGTACTTGAGAAAGTGCTTCTGGGTGAGCGTGTCAGTCATTGGTTGGATGGCAAGCGGCATTTGGGTGCTGAAGGAATCCTCGCACCTTAGTTTCGTCGAAGGGGCGGGTGGCTTCGAACGAAGAGCTGTCCCAATGGCGGTGGAGTCTCGCATTACTCAGGAGGAGATTAAGAAAGAGCCCGAAAAGCCCATCGACCACGAGAAGGTACAAAGGAGGAGTTGAAGGTGGCGGGGAGAAGTGGGGGACGGCTAGCTGGCCGGTCGCTCGACTTGCCTTGCCTTGGTTTTGCGTGCTGATGCCGGCACCGGTCCGTGGATCATTTTGTGATGCCTGTACCGGGCCGTGGTACAAAAAAGGTTGGGGGCCACTGCTTTTAATGATATGCTCAGTATAAGAACATCCTGTTTCTAATAAGGTCATATATAAAAACAGAATTCCATTAGCAGAGACAAATAATTATTAAGACATCATGTCTTAATAATTATTTGTCTGCTATGGAATTCTGTTTTTATATATGACCTTATTAGATAAAACCATGAGGTGAAACCTAATTACTCTATGCCTTAAAAAAAATATTCCTGTCCATTCTGATAAGACACTGGGAAGATATGTTCGTTGTTTCCTTTTAAAGGCATTTGGCTGTAGTCAAATGTCTAAATGCATACCATTAACAATGGCTCAATGGAAGTTTTCTTAATTTTGTATTTTGAGAAAAGCTCTATAATACCTACCATTTGTTTCAGGAAGCTCTCTGTATCCAACATTATTCTTATCTACAGGAACAACTAAACCAGCTCCGTGAAATGTCTTTGTTACTACCTGTTTTGAAAAAAAAAAAAAAAAACCAAACCCAAGTACTTTACAAACCTTAATGTTAGATATTTGTGCAAACACACTAGTCTTCAAATACCAAGCATATATTTTGCTTTTATTGTTTATTTGATTAATAAGTCACGTGTACATTTAAGTAAAGATATCCTGTTAATTTGAAAGAGAAGGAAAGGCAAGACTTTTAGGTAAATTGATTATTGCCTAGGAGTGCCACTAATAATTACACTCTGATTTCATCTCACCTATATACTGTCTTATTAAACAAATGCCAAGCTTAGACTCATTAGATCGGGTTGCCAACCTTTTGGACCTCAGGAACCACCAAACTCATAATTTCAAATCCTGCGGACCACTAATATGAATTTTGACTGACGGTGGCTTGCTGACGTTGGTGAGAAAGTCGGTCCCATATTCCAGAGCTGCAGTACTCACAGAACTGGCCTGTGCACTGGCCTGCCATGGATGAGCTGCTCCAGGATGACCAAAGGGCCAGTCTTGTGACTACTGCAGCTCTGAAATATGGGACCGTCCCATGGTGGGGTTGGAAAACTCTGCCATAGGGGCTGGCACCTGTCATGTGCAAATTTGTGGATGGTGCAACGTGCAAAAAACAGTGCAGCCCTCGCTGGCCAGGACAAGGTAATGGTGCTGTTGCAGCAAGAGCAGGCCGGTGGCACAGGCAGGCTGAAGTGGCGGTTGAGATGGCTGGAAGGTGAGGGAGCTCGGCACTACTTGCTCCTGCACCTTCCAGCTTGCCTCTCCTGGCTTGGGCTCTTCTTCGATGGCCACAAGCTGTAGGGATGGCCCAGGGCAGGAAAAGTACCAGCTGGTGGTGGTGGGAGGCGGCAGAGTGAGCAAGTCTGCGCTCACCATCCAGTTCAGAGGCCCGGAACGGGGCGGCGGTGTCAGTTTTCTCATCCCTCTCAGGGCTCTGCTCTGTTAAGGATGGGGCGCAGTGCAATGGCCAGGTGCCCGGAGCCCCCTCCTCTTCCTCCGACCTGGGCTCATTGCTGGGGGGGGGGGGGAACGAAGCCTATTCTTTTAAAAACAACGTCCTACTACCAGTACGACAAAGCCTCCCCTGACTGAGAGGGCAGCCCAACCCCACGTGGGGAGGCGAATCTCCCGGGGCTACAGCACCGGATCGGCCCACCCCGGGAGAAGCACCCAACTGCCATCCCTGCCTGGCACTGGGCAGAGTGCAAAGAGCGCAGCTGACAGGCAGGCCCTCCTGCCCGGTGGCAGAGCTCTGGCCAAGGCAGCAAGCGCCTCCCCGCTGGGCCCTCCACTCTTCCTGCCAGGGCTGCGCCGGAGCCGGGCAGGCTGGGCAGAGCTGGGAAAGTGAGCTGCGGGTGCGCGCCTGCCTGCCAAGCAAAAGAGCCGGGCCGACCTGAGCTTGGCTTCCTTCCCAAGTCGCTCCAGCCCAAACCTGAAGGGGCCACCAGGAAAGGCCGCCCGAGGCAGTGATAGAGCCCACACATGGACAGGGAGGCAAGGCAACAGCAGCGCTGCTTCCCTGGCCGGTGCGTCCTCCTCCGAGCTGAGCCCTGCCAAGTGAGCGCCTCTGCCCGATGATCGTGCCGCTGCAGCATTTGGAGCTGCCAGCTCGTTTGGAGATGCATGGGGACGGGGATGGGATGGGCGAGGCGTGGAAAGGACGGGTGGCTTCGGGCTCTCTCTGCCGGACCTGCCAGCCAGGGAAACAGCACTGCCTCTCGGGCAAGGGAGGCTTTGACGTACCGGTAGTAGGACATCGTTTTTATAAGAATAGGCTTTGCCTTGGAACGATGCCCGGGAAGGCGGTGACAGGAGCGCCTGAAGCCGAGTGTCTCCGCCGGGCTCCGGTTGCAGGGAGGAGCCCTGGCTGGCAGCGCGTGGCTGCACCAAACACCGCGGTGTTGCTCTAAATGCCACGGTAGCATGGGGAGAAGGGAAACAACAGTGGCGGAAGGTCTCCCGATACGAAGTGCCCCGAGGTCAACGAACGCCGAGGTCAACGCAGGCAGCACCATATCCGGGTATGCAACAAAAGTACTTCCTAACGGCAAGCCCCCCCGCCATTTTGCATGTTTAATATAGGCCTTAATTTCGGGGGAGGAGCTTAATTTGATTTTATGTCTATAAAACATGCTGGGACTTCCTATTAGGAGAGGCCGTATTGTTGGAGAAACACGGTATATTCATGAATATACATTCATATATTGGTTACACCTCCCCTCACCCAGCTTGTATTACTATATGCTATAGCTTGAAACCAAACAGGGTGTAAAATGCCAAATCATTAATGAATCCTTAAATTTGCTACAATGTCAGCCCAAAAAATCTGATAGCCAATCAGTTCTTAATATTATCTGGAGTTCAATAAACATGAAGCAGTATTTTCTGATTAATTCCACTCTTAAATAAATGTTTTTTACCTTTTTAAGACTGGGTGGTAACATCCTTTAAAGTTATCTGTAATATTTACAGCATGCTTGTTGCTATTTATACTAGCTATGAATTCAACCTTTTACTGCGTTGATCACAATAATTAAATGTGATTCCCTGGTTTTGGAGGAGTCTTAGGAGTAAACATATTTTAGCACAAACTAGGAAAAAGATAAATGCTGTATTAAAGTTTACTAAGTTTGGAAAAATCAAATCTTACCTTTTTATCTCGCTGTTTCATCTTCAAGCTTTTTTGTTCCAATGAGTAACCCAATTGTTTTGCTGTTTTAGTTAGTTTTTCATCTATGTCCCTTAATAGGCCACCTCTCTTTTTATTAGTCAGTTCTTTAAGCTTTTTAGACAAAAATAATCTGAAACAAAAGAGCACAAAATCCTACAGCTGAAAAAACTCAAACATGCCTTTACTAGCTAACAGAAGCACACATCAAAACAGTACAATTAGTAGAAATCCCAAAAGTTGCTCCTATGTGTACCAGAATAGACTTCTAATGATCAGAAAAGCTAGCAAATTATCAGAAGTACTATGAAAAATTTATAGAGATGGTAATGTTTTTCCAGTAGTTCTATGAAAGGAATTTTACTAACTAAATAGCTGTTTCTAAACAAATAGGCACCAGATAAAATCTTCATCCTTTCATAGCCATATGTAAAACAACCCTGTAACTAGGCTGATTCAAAAATTTTCTGTGGAACATTAACTCTTAAGTGTTATGGAGATTCTCAGTCATCCAGGTCATGTTTGTTCCAAAGGTGCTTTTTTCAAAAGGCAACTGGACTTTCTGGTTTTTCTTTGAAGTTGTTTCACTTCTCATCTAAGAAGCTTTTTGGATGAGAATCGAAATATCTTCAAAGAAAACCCAAAAGTCCCGTTGCCTCTTGAAAAAAGCATTTTTGGGATATTCACTCTTAAAAATCACATTTTATGCTAAGCTGAGACAAGCAAAAGCCAATCACAGTAATAAAAAGTTTTGTTATACATATTTTTCAGCAAACTACTAAAAATGTGGCTGAATATATTTTGCAGCAAACAGCTAAAAACATATACAAATTATTTTCACATCACTATATTCAGAAAGATTAAATATGGAAAGTAATATATACATCCTCCAATATTCCAAACCAGAATATAAACTATGTGAAAGTTTCTTAGAATGCATTAATGAACAATGCAATGCATAGAAATGCAACAGAAAAACAGAATTCAGCCATACTTTGTAGAAAATATTTTACAGATTAAAAATATTACATGGTTGTCCAAAATATTCTCGAATTAGTGTATAGCAGCAAATAACATGTAAACTATGCTACTGAACTATTTGAATAAGAAATTTTGAGAAGCAAACTAAGCAATATTCTACCATTATGTTCTGAGCCAAGTACAAATTCCTGCCATAAATAAAAAAAGTGCAGCACCTTTTTCTGGATCATGAGATAGATTCTGACTTTTATAAACAGGGATTACATTGCAACATTGTTTTTGTACAAGCAAAAGAGGATTCTGTTAAGAGTGACTTGTATTCAAACAGTTTTAAAAGAGGACAAGAATAAGCTTCACCTCAGTACTTTACCCACGAAATCATTTTCTCAAAGTAAGAACGTGTAAAATATACTGAAGTGGGGGTGTATTTTCCTAATTCAAACAGCACAAAGCTACATAGCAATAATTATATGTGAAGAAAAAAAAAGTCCCTTGCAAACTGAGACTGCTATTTCCAAATTAACCTCTTTTTACAGGATGAAAATGTTAAATTCTTACTTTACAGCTGCAAATATATTGTCACCAACTTGATAAATTGTACAGCCTTTCTGGGTTTCAGTTTCACCAACCCACACTGGCAGTTGATCTGGTATATCTCTATAAAATATACAAGATATTAAAACTGAACACAATTTAAGAATTAGAGCTGAAGCAGCTATGTTACTAGAGATTTCTCAAACACTGTTTTTTCTACCAAAAAAGTATCTAAAAAGATACGTGCAAGACCGATCCTTCAAACTGAAAATTTTGAAAGGAATCCTTCAAACTGTAAATATTTAATGTTTCAGACATGGGCTTCCAATCAGAACAATCCAAATTGCTTCCAGATCAGATGATTACTTTACTTTAATCTACTTGATTACCCCTAGCACAGCTGGATCAGCATTGTCAGGAGGATGAATGGACTGTAAATTTAAAGTGTACCTAATAAGATCTCAAATTTTATCAAGAATTATAGTCTTTATTAAAAAGTAAAAAAGACAATATTGCAATTTGCTACATTGGAAAACAGCCTTTTATGGAGAACAGATTTTATAAAAATGCATCCACAATGGATAACAAACAATGTTTGTTACATAACAAACATTTTGTATAATGGCAATCAGTATAATGAAAGAAAATTCTGTTGTACCTAGTTATTCTAAATTGCTAAAAGAACAAAAATCTTTTTTAAAACAATAAAATGAACTTTGTAAGCTAGGTTGCCTAAGTCAAAACTGGATAATACAATCTAGCACAAATACAATAGATTTTGAAGATACCAACTCAAAATTCACCTGCAAAATAAATAACAACATGCCAGCAAACTTGGCAAAATGACTTATTCTATTCCAAAATATTCTTGGCAAGTACATACGAATTAAACATCCTAATGCCACACCAAGATAGACAACATACCTTTTGATTATATCAACATTTTTATGTTAGAAATGTTTTTCAACTTTATATCCTGTTGAATGAAAAGGTCTTAAAAAGGAAAACTCAGAAATGCCCTGCTCATTATTTTAAAGCAACAGCAAGAAGAACATTTAAGATATAACTGTCCCCTTCGGGAGCCAAGGTATTTCTTACCTGAAATATCCCATATGATATTGTGTTTTGCTCTCTCCAACAATAATTGTCTGAAATTCAGGAGGATCATAAAAAAATCTCCAATGAAGGTTGAAATTTATTTTTGATTTATTTGTGTTTATATGTTTTCCAGAAAGTAAGTCATATGGTCCAACAAGCTGAAGTCCAATACTTGATTTGAGAGCGTCTACAACATAAAAACACCTATTGTTTCATAATAACCATAAATACACAAAATATATATTTAAAATTATTTAAAAGGTGCTATTGTTTTTATTTATCTACTATACTTTCTGCTTCTAGGTTTAATGGAAAGGTTGCAGCTAACACTTTGGATTCACCTTCTCATTCAGCTTACAAAATAAAGTACTATTTGTTTATTCTATTCAGTTTATATGTCTGCTTATCTGACCACATCGACCCTGGGCAGCTAACAACAGTTATAGTATAAAATACAACCAACAATGAAAATAATATACACAACCAGGAGTCGAGGCAAAAACAAACCAAACTTCAATTAACATAACTACTCCTTGGTTATGTTACACAAAGGTTGGAGAAAATAAAGACTAACTAAAAAAAAAAAATTGGATTTCTGATCTACATTACATGAAAAGTTCTGGGTTTAATTATTACCAGTATGTTTCCTACAGCCAGTTTTAAATACATTAAATATACAAAACAGTTATTCTTTTCATATAATGTATGCTTTATATATCTATAATTCTCTCTGTTCTCAAAGATTAGAGTCAATTCCTTAAAAAGCCAAAATTGCTCTCTATACAGAGAGCTATAGTGCAGCAAACATGGAAGAATTAAAAGACTGGTAAAATAAAAAAATAATCCCAAAATGGCACACACACCCCTCCCCCACCCCCAGAACTGAACATGCTGATTGACATGAGATGGTGATTATTAGAAGATGAAGGATAAATACATTTTATATTGCATGTGGAAAGGACTACTACTGATATTAAATAGTATCAAACCATAGTATCAACCATAGCATCTGTCTAGTCCACCATATGGGACTGAAAGACATTGAACAGAGGTTCCCCTTTGTTCTTTGTGGTCAAGTCCAATCTGTCAAGTGAGAAATCAAGTGAGCCAATCAGGCAAGCTGGCATGCTCCAGATCCCATCAATTAAGTAATTTTATCTGATGGGACCTAGGAAGTGTATCTTCTTGGTCACAACACCTGCTTTCTGGAGAGTAATTCCCTCTCCTCCATCTTGTCTCCATTCTGATTATGTTCAAAAGAGCATTGAAAACCTGGTTCTTTTCATAGGAATTGGGTTAGAGTTGGTGGCAAATTTGCATTTTAATGTCTGCTTTACCGGAGGGGGGGGCGGACTTTTTCATTTTAATTATATTACTTTTACTGTATGCTACCCACAGTCATTTTACAGTTGGGTAGCCTCATAAATTTCTAAAATAAATATCAAAATTTTGAAGATATTATTATGCCTACAATAAAATTGTACACACGTACACACACACACCCCATATATGTACAAACACACAAACATTCATATAGAGAAGACAAACATTTATATCTACCACATGGCTTGGCAGGTTCTAATTCCTCACAGAATTTCCAGAAATGATAGAAATCTTCAGGCATTTTGAGTCGGTAACAGCTTTCAATTTCTTGGCGAACACAATCAGAGATATCTGCTTTGCCAGCTTGTACATTTTTTACTTCTTTAATGTTTCCACCCTACCAATAAACAGAAAATCAAGGAAATAAGCTCATAATTTATTGTTTTAAGACAAGGAAAAGAAACCAAGAGTTGAACGTAATCTGGAGGGTAATTTGTGATTAGGCAAAATAGTAAACTAAGAAATAAGCATTAAAAATATGTAATTCTCCATATTGTTTGTGTGCAACTGCTTAAAGATTCAAACTAAAAAAAATATGTCGAGTTAAAGGAAGTTACATATTCTACCCTCGAAAACCCGCTTCTAAATAACATATGAGACCAAGACACTTTGTATGAATGTTAACATATTTATTATTGTATCAAAGATCCTGAGGATGGGTGGTGATATTAGAATGGTATTTGAACTCTTTCTGTCCCAATAGTTAAAGGACACAAAAATTCGAGGTCTTGGATAGAGTGCAAATGGAAATGGGGACATATTACTGATACCTGCTTTTGTGCTTCTGCATGACATCTCTGCTTCCTACCTCCAGCCATTCTGGTACCTGTTGTGGTCATTGCTATATTCTGTCTTTTGCAATAGTAAGAGTTTCCAAGTTCTCCTTGTGATGCTATTGCACAAAAGGAAGTCAATCAAGAATAGAAGAGGATAAGACGGCATGCATACTGCAATTTGGATAGCTAGTAAATGTCAAAAGATTACTGGTACAAAAATAAATGAAGCAGCAAGCAAAACACTGTAGTATTGCTCATAAACTGTTAAGCTCATAATATGATGTTTACTTTTAAGCAAGCACTACTGAACTGAATGGGAACTTCCCAGAAAACATAGGGATATGTTGTGATGTTAGACATATTCTTGCTGAGGAATAAGTCTCATATCTCATATAGCAGCATTAAACCAATGCTTCTAACTACTATTGTAATAATATGCTAGATATTTGTATTGCTAAGTTCAAAATAATTACATGGACAGCATTTTCCATTTTGATTCCTTCCAGATAAATTGATTCCAACTCTCACTATCCCGATAGCATAATCATAATTAGAGACAGGTGTTTTAGCTAACCTATCTGGAATGAATCAGATGAGCAAATGTGTTTTAAACAGACAAAAGTAAGCTATGCCCTGAGAAGACATCTTTAATTACATTTTTGTATTTACTTTTCTATGCCCTCCCAACTCTGCAGAATTTCTATCAAAGCAAATACAAATTTCTATCAAAGCGAATACTATACTACATCATTCCTAAATCTCAATAGTAAAAGAGAAAGGCAGAGGGACTTGTTTGTACCACCAAAAAAATGGAAATTGGGAACAGAACAAACTGGAGAGCTGCTGTTCTGACCTTCTGACGATCATTGCTAATAAGAGAAGGGCCACAAGCTCAAAACGAACGATTGGGAGTAGCTCTAAAAGAGGAGAGCTGTGTTAAGCCTGTATGTATGTATGTATTTATTTATATTTATTTTTGTCAATTGCTTACAAGATAATAGGTATAAGTAAAAAACACAATTATGAATACATGGATACATGTAAGAAAAATAAAAAAAATAAAAAAGAAACAATAGGACAGGGATGGTAGGCACGTTGTTCTTGTAGCAACCTTATTTTAAACAATTCTGGGATACCTCAGAGGTCCACCTGAAGACTAGTGTCTAGTTACAGGTGTGTGTGTGTGTCTATAACAGTCATGCTTGTGTTTATCTTTAAGGCATCTCGGACTTTAGTGTTTTTTTTTTAAATAGGAGGAATGGAGGCAACTGGAGCGATTAAAAAAAAAAAAAAGAGGACGGGAGGGCAGAGGGAATCGGTATCCACACACGGTAATCCGAAGGAAGGCAAAACATACCTGGAAACGACCGAATCCAAGTTTCCTTACATTTTTTTTATTACAACAGGTAAAACACTCACCTTCCCTACACTATTTTACAGAGGCGAAAAAGGGAGAAAAACGGCAGCTTATAAAAAGGAGAGTAGAACGAGGGGGATGGAAGACAGCACAAGAGGCAGGAGCAAAACGGGGGGCAACTTATTAGAAGCAAGAGCGAAAACCAGACGAATTAAAAAGAAACCGCCAGGAAACTACCGCGCTTCCTTGGGACGTCAAAACGAAGACGCCGCACTCCCGTCCACTTCGCGCTTCTCGCTCTCTCTCTCTCTCTCGCGCGCGCGCTCTCACGGAAGCGGAATTAAATAGCCTCCCAGCAAGGGGAAAACCGTGAGCAGAGAGACCTGTGCTACTGCCCGGCTTCGCGGGGAATAGCGCCTCTGCCTGCAGGGCGGGAGAATTGCCGTCGGAGCTTTTTTTGTGTGTTTTCCCCCCAAGAAAGAAAGGAAGGAGTTCAGCCGGCTTCATCTCGAGTCGTCTGTTTTGAGAGTATAGAAGCTGCTGTCGATGTCTCTGCCGCTGCGCCTTTTAAGATGCGAGTTGGATGAATCATAGAGTCGGTAGTTGTTGTCGTAGTAGAATTTCTGATGGGGTGAAAAGTGTGCGTGTGTGCACCTCCAAATGTGAATTCAATTTACTGCTTTGTAGCCAGGCTTCTGTAAATTTATTTTAAATGATAAGAGATAGAATTCCAAGCATAGCTGGTATGTAAGATTTAATATTTTTTGCCTTTTTTGTATTGTGGGAAGCCTCACCCCCAAAGAATGAAATACTTTGGGAAATATTAAAAAGCCAGAATGTTATACTTTCCTAAAGGAAAAAAATAGAGAAACATGCTCTTAAAGACAGAAAGCAATCCCCAAGCTTTTCTTAATAGCCTAAAGCAGATACCAGTACTTAAGAGATAAAGAGCTTATTGAAAGAGGAAAACTGGTATCTATATAGCTCTATTCATAAGCAAAGCAAATACTGCAGGCAGACATCCATTCAGGACAGGATATTTGGAAACTCCTTGGCAGAGTGATGGGATTAAAAAGCAGCCCCTCACCCAAGATCCAACACAGGACGAAAGCCATTCACCACAATAGGAATTGCCTAACAAACACCCTTTCAGAACACAAGCCTCTTCATTGCAGTCTAAACGTCAAAGTCACAGAAACCTGGGGGCTCAGATAAACAATAATCCAGAGGTTGACCAAATTAGCTCAGACAAACACCTAGGATTTGCATTTCCTCTTTTCAGTGGTGGGATTCAAAATTTTTTTACTACCGGTTCTGTGGGCGTGGCGTGGCGGGCATTGGCTGGGGAAGGATGCTGCAAAATCCCATTCTCTCCCACCCCGCTAACCTGCTTTCCAGTTCTGTTCTCTTATGCAGGGCAACAAAAGAAGACCCAGCTGATCAGCTGGGACTTGGGAGGCAGAGAATAGATGGGGGCGGGGCCAGTCAGAAGTGGTATTTGCAGGTTTTCTGAATTACTAAAAATTTCCACTACCGGTTCTCCAGAACTGGTCAGAACCTGCTGAATGCCACCTCTGCCTCTTTTGTCTATAGAGAGGGACTGGTGGTTGGTGGTTCTGCTTCATCATTAAACCATCTTTCCAATCAGCCTCCATGTTTTCAGTGTCTTTCTCTCAGCCCAGAACTGAACCTTCCAACTGTCAACTTTCTAAGAAATACAGCCATTGCAAATCAGAACTCTGAGGCAGATCGATTCCTCAAAGAACAATTTTAACATTGGCACAAACTAGTGAAAAGCCAGTTTTGAATCTTCCCGGGCTTTTCACAACCTTAAAAGAAAAAGTTTCTAGTCTTCTCAGAACAATAAATCACATTGTCCAATCTGGATACTACAGCTATTCTATTTTGTCTACCAAATTCCCTCTATTCCTCCTCCCTTCATCTCCATGCTGTGTCAGCCCAAAACCCAGCTTCGGACCTGACACCAACTGTTTCCCCCACTATGGCTTTAATACTTTTTGTCAAAATAAAATGGGAAGGAGGCAATAAAATATGCTAATTGATACAGAAAAAATGATTTCAGATGAGGAAAAATAGTAACAGCAATAGCATTTACACTTCTTTATTGCATCATAGTGCTTTACAGCACTATCTGGGCAGTTTACAATGTTAGCATATTGCTCGCAACAACGTGGGTCCTCATTTTATCTACCTTGGAAGGATGGAAGACCGAGTCACCCTTGAGCTGGTCAGGATCAAACTCCTAGCTGTGGGCAGAGTTTTCCTGCAATACTGTGCTACCATGGTTCAACATGCAATAAAAGTCTATGTATTTGTTGGGTGTTAAGACATTATTTTGGAATCTTGCTTTTCCCTGAGGAAAACTAAATTGAGCATAAATTGTCATTCAGAAAAAGAATGATTCTTTTGAGAGCACTGGGCCTGTTTCACTGGACATTATCCCTGTCCAAGCCTCTTGGGGTTAATCTAGGCAGAGGGACTGAGTTCTGACAATGATCTATTTTTTGCTGGAGGAAGGGGGGAGGATTCACATTTTTTTACTTAGTTGCACAAAAACTAAAAGCTTCCATTCTGATAAATGCTCATAGCAATCAAGATTTAAGTGAACAAGCTGTCCACCAGCCCCCAATTTCAATCTCCTGAAATGTTCTCACAACCAAAGGCTTTGTGGCCCACAATTTCAATACCCCATAAAAACACTTCTCTGATTAAATCTCTAGGAAATAAGCTTTTATGTTAGCAGGGGCCTGCATTATCAGCCACATGACCCTCATTAATGGCAATAGGACTTAAGTAGCTTAAACTTGTACTATTTCCAAAAGAGTAATTCCTTGTGTATCATATGGTCTCCTTAGGCAGTAAAGATTAATACTATTTGTTTGAAATTTGTTTGGCATTGTCTGGCAACATTTTTAAAAAAGTTTCTGATCTTTAAAATTCTTCTCTGAAGCATACTCAATTTGTGTGATAAACTTGTGACATTTGTCAATTAAAAAACTTTGTTTCTTTGATATATTAATGGACTGATACATCAGAATTAAAATTCTATGAAGAATAGAAAATTGGGCAACATCTTTCTTTCATGATTAAAAAGACTGGGCTTAATATAAGAGTTTAAATGCCAAATAATCTTATATAAAAAGATCCATTATTGTCATCTTTACATCGATGTCACATAAAAAATAGATACGATCTTGTACTTCTTGCAATACGGTCCCACACTTTTTATATTATTCCTGATTACTAGGGTACTTAGTAGTTAGGATTCAATCCAAAGATTGCTTTGGAGTGTGCAAGATCTGTCTACGGCTCTTTAAAGCAGCGATATCATTTTCCATGATTGTGTAAAATGAACTACCTTTTGGGATTTCACTGAAAACTGTGAACACTGTTCAGGACTCCTAATTATTATAATTGTAACCAATACTCAAAATACATTTATACATTTACATATAATTTTTTTGCTTACTCCCTAGGAGACATTAACTTTAGGGTTCATCCATTAAGACATCTTATGCTAGCTCCAAAATAATGTATTTAACCACTGTTTTTCTCTTGGATCAAAAAAAATATTGATCTTATAAGATATATTTAACAAGATTGCTATTCCCACTATAATTCCTGTGCATTTCATTGCCTTCTTCACCACAATGATCCTTACAGTTGTAACCTTGTTGGTAACCTCCACCTTATTGTTTTTTTTTACTTGCCTGTCTCTCTTTTCCTCACATAAGGATCCTTTGCTTTGCCTGTTTGATGAGTTGCGGGTCCCAGTGCCGGGATGAATCAGCTGACGACCT